CTGTTAGACTAGACTAGAGGGTAGCTTTTAATCATTTATATCTTATATATTCTATAGCCACTTTGCTATCATATTTCTCTTTTATGATAAATATAAACTTAAATAGCATGCTTTATCACAGGGGTCTTCAAACTTGGCCCTTTTATGACTTGTGGACTTCAACTCCCAGAATTCTTCAGCCAGCATGCCTGGCTGAGGAATTCTGGGAGTTGAAGTCCACAAGTCATAAAAGGGCCAAGTTTGAAGACCCCTGCTTTATCATAAGATCTCTCTGCAGTCCAATGTTGGCACAGAAAGACCACAAAGGGAGGCCCTGAAACAGCACAAAGACAACCCATATGAGGAACCATCAATTGTGGCTATGAAAGAGATACAGGTGCCCTTTGGTGCTCACTGTCTGGGCAGAGAAAGGCATGCTCTTAACGGGCAGTAGAGTTTCCAGGCAAGGGCCTGCTCATTCTTGGCAAGAAGTGAGCACTGGTTCATTACGTTCATGTTCCTGATGGCTGGGCAGGAACACAGATTTGGGACCAGGACAATTGAGAATACCCTAGGAAGCAGCATTAAAAATCACAGATAGATGCCCGTCAAGGCAGATCCAGGGAAATGTAGTGTCTGAAATGGGTCACTCCCCACTGTTGGCAATTACAGCTAAGGCTCTCCATCTCTACTGCAGAGCAGCAGCTGTCCGTTGTGTGACTGGTTATGTTCAGTTGGCCCATGCGTCCCCTGGAGTTCACAGTGGTTCTGATTCTGTAATTTACTTTTCTTTTCCAGGAGGGACATCTTAAGGATCTCCCCCCCCCCCCCGCAGTATGAAATGCCTCCATCAGAAGCTCTTACCCTTTATTCCGCTGCAGTTGGTAGGGTCTGCTTGCATCTCACCTAGAGTCCAGGATACTGCTAGTTATACATGCACCACTGATTATAAAACGCTAGCTTAGAGGACATTGGGCAAAAGAAATTAGACGTTTTCTTATAGTGGTCCCTCTGTTTGCTAGTTGATAAAATGTAAGAGAAGGATTGGTTTGTGCTGCTGGAAACAAGCTGGGGGGGGGCTTTTTTTTTTTTAAAGAGAACCAGCCACTGACCTCCACTTCTTCCCCTCCCCCTCTCTAAATTCCTTAATGGAATTTGTTTACTCCTGAGATTGAGGTAGGAAAAAAAGCTTCTTGCATAAGGAGTAATGATTTTCATGAATGCTGGCATCTAGTTTGGCCTGGCAATGGGACAAACAGAAGGGAATGGAATGGCCCCCTTGGTGTTTTTCCTCGCTTGTGAAACTTGCAGCGGGTTGTTTTCAATGAAGCCAGAACACTGGATTAAATGGCAAGGCTGTCCTTAGGGAAGGAAATTTTTTCCCCATGTTTTCAGATTATTTTAATGCTACCCTAAGAAGGGGCAGTAAACAGGATAGGGGGAATTTAAAGACAATAATCGGGGAGTTACAGTTTTTGATTTTAATTGGAAAATCCCTTTCCAAAAGGATAAAGCCAGATGTTTAAATGTAAAATAAGTTTGCTTGAGAAAAGAGAAAAGCAGGAAAAATAAGGGAAGGCAACAGTCCTTGCTGCCTTTTCCCTTCCCAGAATTCTAGATTAAGGTGGTCTAGCAGCTGATAGTTATGTATTGCCTGCTTAGGTGGGACAAACTCTTAATTTTTTGGTTTGTCCCTAAAGTAGCTTCAAGTCAGAGGTCTAAACAGATGGAATTCAGTTGTTTTTCCCAGCCCAAAACAAAATGATTTTTTTCTGGTGAAACTCAGTTTGTGCCTTTTACCATTCTCCTTGAGGATTTCTGATTTGCTGGTTAGACCCAAGATAGTAAAAATGGAACGGCCCAGGTTTGAGACCCAGTTGCCATGTGATGGGGTGAGCTCCCATTACTTGCCCCAGCTCTTGCCCACCGAGCAGTTCGAAAGCATGCAAATGCGAGTAGATAAATAGGTAGCAGTGTTCAGTGTGCCTCGGCGCATAATCATACCACATGTCCACGGAAATGTGTGCAGAAAATGCTGGCTCCCTCGCCTGAGAAACAGAAATGAGCACCATCCCCTAGAGTCGGACGCAACTGCTCTGGAGAAATATTTATCTTTACCTTTATTTGATTGGCTAAAGCCCTAATCATTATCCTGAAAGAGACTGGCTTTAACTTGACTTCCTAATAATATACAAGCAGAAGTCACCTCTTCTACTTTTCTCTGAAGATGTACTGAACCACAGTGTCTTGGCCAAACAGGTACTAACTAGTTTAGCTAGAGTGACTACATTGATTTTTAGGGCTGGGCACTCTTTGAAAATGACTTGGAAGAAGAGCTTCTGACCATCAGTGCCATTTTAATATCTCCTCTGTTCATTAAGTTAGCCATTTTAATGCCTCTCCTATATTCATTAAGCTAGCCTGATTGTTTTTTCAGGCTGTTGTTCTTTTAAGAATCACATGGATATCTTAAAGCAATGGTTCTTCCTTCCTTCCTTCCTTCCTTCCTTCCTTCCTTCCTTCCTTCCTTCCTTCCTTCCTTCCTTCCTTCCTTCCTTCCTTCCTTCCTTCCCTCCCTCCCTCCCTCCCTCCCTCCCTCCCTCTTTCTTTCTTTCTTTCTTTCTTTCTTTCTTTCTTTCTTTCTTTCTTTCTTTCTTTCTTTCTTTCTTTCTTTCTTTCTTTCTTTCTTTCTTCCTTCCCTCCCTCCCTCCCTCCTAATTGGAAGCCTAAAAAAAGTCAGGCTATTTTGGTGAGCAGTGGAGAGGTGCTAAACCTGTGTGTGACCCAAGCGTTCAGATGGGAGGTTCACCATATATTGCACCCAAGTTCCAAAAGACCACAATTCCCATGCATTTTATGCCTCGTAATAAGACTTGTTCATTCCATGAAAACTTGGCTAGTCCCATTTTTGTGTGTTTCTCGTACCTCCTGGTACTTTTTTACATGGAAACTATTGGTTGATTTAGAAACCATCTTTTCTTGTGAGAAATGCGAGCTTTGTTTTCTTCCAAGTCTTAATTCTGGTATGTTTCACATGCTGAATAAATTGAAATCTTTATTTGCTGCTTCCTTGGCCTGCTCCGAGTGGGTCTCATGTGTTACATCATTCCTACATGTTGACTCACACAAATCAAGACATGAAACTACATGTCATTAATTTGTGTCATTGTATAATTATTGGCATTATTTAGCAGTGATAATACAGTGGCATTAATGCATTTTCCATTAATTAACGTGGGGGGATAATGAAGCATTAGGAATTCTCCAGCTGGCAATATTAGAGTATCTGAGAAACATCAGTCTGACTGATGGCACTCTGTCCCAAATATCTTTTAGAGGGGAACTGTTATAGAAAGGATTTGGCAGCGATTTTTAAAATTAGTATCCCTGCAGCTTATGCCAGTGAGTTTCAGATGTTAGGGAGAGTTCTTTGTAGAGAGAATTATCTGAGAGAGGAAGAGCAGGTTGGCCTCCTGCTTAGATGCTAATTAGCTTTTTTCTTCCATCTGTTTTTCTCTTTTTTAGAGCAATAGGCTTAAATTTATAGAAAATTAAATGAAAGCCAGACACTTAGGGGACACTGTTGTTTTGCCCAGTCAAGCAAAATGCTCGGTCTCTCAAATCATGAGTTTAGTTAGGAATGTCGTGGCTAAACTTACCTACTTAGTGATTTTACAGTTGAACCATAAAAGTCCTGGCCAGTCCTAAAAGCTTATGTTAGAAGTGTCTGTTGGAAGAGTTTTGATGTATTTAGGCCTCTCAGTGTGGAGCCAACTCACCAGATGCAGTGGGGGAGGGCAGTTGTCACAAGGAGAAGAAAGGTCCCTTGTGAAGATGTATTTTCGTCCTGGAATTGCTTTCTGGATTGGAGGGAGGTCTTATCTAATTTGGCTTTTGCAGTTAAACTGGATGTAATTCGGAGTGGAGGGGATGATACTGTTTATTATTGGTCACAACAAACACTGCGTGGCTAGGTGAGCTGTTCCGTGAAGGTGAGGTACAGTACTTGCCTTCGGTAGCTGCATTAAGTAAAACTTAATTCATCAATTGTGCATTAATCACAAGTCATTGTAACAATTGTCCCACAGGGTTTCCATTGAATAGCGGGCTCTTGTGAAGTCCAGTGAGGTTTTTTTCTGGGAAGAAACACTCAATTCAGTTGTCCAGCTGATATTAATGCAAACTTTGGCAGCCTTCTAAAGCTCAGTGAAAGTGTCTATTTCAGTCCTTGGCAGGAGTGAATTATTTTTTCTTAGCAACTTGATGGACAGGGACGAAAGGATGGAAAAAAGAATATCATAAAAGGGAAGATAGAAGGGAATGGTTTGTCTCCTTAGTGGTCTTTCCCATTGTCGACAAGAAGCTTCTGAGAGATTTCTGTCCTGATCAATGTGTGTTTGTGTAATACTCCAATCCTGTGTCACGCATGGCTTTTGCCCTTCCAGATAGAAGTGCTATCTGGAGGGAAAAATGTCTTCTGCCTTAGAAACAAACAGGTTATGGCACATTTACTACATCTAACCATCTTTATATTCTAAAGATTTTCCATTTTAAAAAAGATTTGGAAAATCTCAGATGAAGCCACATCACTTATGAGTCCTTGGATGGGAACCAAATTGATGGATTGGCAGACATCTTAAATATCAACAGGGATGTTTAATTGTATTTGGAGATGATGCTGGCTAATGGTGGAAGATTCCTGAGCAAAAGTTACCAGAAGAAAATCTGGTGAAGTGTAGTTCAAATCTGCCCTGTTCTTGGATGTTCTGGGTTTCTCCAGATTTACCAAGGAAATAGAAAATGATGGTTTAAAAGAGGTTAAGGTGTGGCATCAGTTCAAACTGATACATCTTGGCTTATCAGGCTGAGCTTAGATTTGTAGCATAGATCTTGTAGCATAGATCTTGCTTCATGTGCTATGAGGAGTGAGTATGTATATTGACTCCATCTGGAATCATACCTTGAAGAACAGTCTGACTTGGGGGTAATTTAAACATTATGATGTCTTTTCCTTTTTCCAGGGCAAAATATTTCAAGGGGAAGAAACTTCATGGGGAGTTGGACATCAAGGTTGAACAGGTAAGTCAGGAAGCAAATATTAGGGACTGACTTCTGAAATCCTTATCAGAGTTTCAACCATATAGCTTTCCAGTTATTGTTCGGCTGCAGTTTCCAATTTCCAGCTAGGGCTGGTGGTATTTCACTTGCTTATTGTGCATTGGCCCCTGTTATTAGCGGGATCCGTAATTTGTCTGGCCTGACCCTCAAAAGTAGCTTAAAGCCAACTCACAGTTGTCCTCACATATATTGACTTTGAAATAGTAATGGAAGATGCAAAGACATGCCATTCAATCAAATGAATGCCAAATGACCTACCTACCATTAGTCATTGTTGACCTTGGAGGAACAAAATTCTTTTTATTCCTGTTCTACACAAAAGGAGAAGCAAATAAATTACTAGTGTCTGTGTTCCACATTCTTAGTTTACATTAGATCTGGTAATATGCAAACAAATTAGAACAGTACTATGATAGGGAACTGCAAAGCCCCCAAGCTACCTTTCACCTTAAAAGACAATGAAACAATAGCATGCAAGTGAAGCCCTAGAGCTGATAACAGGCAGAAAGTAGGAGTCCTTTTCAATGGGAGAAGAAACTCCCTCTGCCTGCAAATATTAGTTTTACTCTGGCTTCAGATATATTCGAAAGATTGCTTACCCACAGAGTTGATGTTATGGGACTGCATAGGAGCATTGGTTCTGTTGCAAAAGTTTTTTGTGTGGAGGTAAACAAACATTGATTGATGCCGAAAGTCCTATTGCCTTGTGAGGAATTTAAGGAGTATTTTAGGTGCACCCTTGGTTAAGGGTAAGTCTACATGGAATGTTTGCTTAGGTTTCAATGTTGCCTCAATTGAATTGCAGTTTACTGAACTTAAAATGTGGTCTATAGACCTTTCAGTTTGAATTGAGAATACATCATAAAATACATACTGCCGGGGAAGGTTAGACACATGAGCAAGATATATTTCAAGGAAGCTACCTCACCATTAGATTATATTTTTCTGCTGAGAATCTATTGGATAAAGACGAGGGAGGAGAGGTGTTAAATTCCATCAGCATGTAGTTTCTACATTTCTGCCCTTAAAATGAATCTGGGAATGAATTCAAAGTAAGCAAGCCTGATGGGAATCCCATCCTATTTTCCTACTCTAGGGTAATTCCAGAATTAGTTTTTTCAAACCATTCCAGTAAAGTCTTATCGTATATGATTTATGGGGGTTGCAAATGGGATGGTGAACTTCTGTCTACCTCCAGAGATTATTTTCAGCCTAGACTTTTGTGATCATGATTCACAAACTGGATTGTAGTAGTTAAAGTGTTGGACTAGGGAGGTCTAGGTTCATCTTTAACCATGGGCCAGTCACTGTCTCTCAGCCCAATCTGTTGCACAGGTTTATTGTTTGAGAAGAAACAAGAAGCAAGGGCTGAGCTAAGTTGAGCTCTGAGGTTTAGAATGGAGTATATATCTAACAAAGAAGTAGTTTAGTGTTACACGTGCAGCCTGGCCATTTTTGACTATTTTTTTTTTAAAAAAATCATGATTAATGCAAACCATGCAAATGGTTCAAGTGATACTTAAAATATATAATTTTTATCAGGAAGCACTTGGGAAGTCTCCGAATTTAGAAAAGGTTTCTGGAATTCATTTAATTGAGGTCACTCTGGTTTTCTGGCCACTCTCTGGGAGCTGAGAATGGCTATAGAGTATCATCTTAAAATTCTTCACCTTCTGCAGATAGCTGAGGACGTCCATACAATTAAAACAGGGGAAAATAGTTTTCAGTTGTAGCACTGGTTCCATCTTAATTTAATTATCTCAGATGCTTTTTCTTGGTTGTTTTCTTTTTCTTATCACTAATCTCATTCTTTTTTATTCCATGTCATGTTGTTACAAGCTTTGGTCTTAATAACTTAACTGAACTTTGAACTTCCTTGTGTTCATGTCAGAAGCACCAAGGGGCTCCTGGATTGAAAAGATTAGCTGGTACATCACTGTTGCTCAGGGGACATCCAGTTGGGGGCTCCTTTCATGTCGTCTTTAATGTGCCCACCGAAGTGGTACCTATCTACCTACCTGTGATTACTCACTTTCTAACTGCTGGGTTGGCAGGAGCTGGAGTGAATGACGGGAACTCGCCCTGTCACAGGGTCTTGAATGCGGGCTTACTGATTGTCACACCAGCATTCTAACCACACAAGCCACCACACTCCTACTTTGGACTAGTTGAGGAAGTTGTTTGCTGTGATGGGCAAGTTTCCTTCAAATGTAACTTGTCTTGTCTCACTGACTTTCTGACTGAAATATCTGTCCGTACTATTAGCTGGACTTCAGGACGGTCCAGGTCCCGTTTGCATTTGTGGATGGAAAACTTGCTCTGTGGGCTGGGGCAATCATCAAGGGTGTCCCCTTACCTTGAAAAGTTGATGGGGTGACAGCTCTGAGAATGTATGAATGTGCTACCCATATATGGTTTTGTCTTGTTTCTACTAGGCGGAATTCTGTGACTTGAACTTGGTGGCTCACGCTAATGGCAATTTTTCTGTTGATATGGAGGTTATACGCAACGGGATCAAGGTAGTACGGTGAGTAGAAACATGGCACTATCCGTAGTTTATTACGATTGTTCAGAATGTTATGTATTTATGTATTGATGGTTTATTAGGCTTTAATATATTTCAGAGGAAATACCGAGTTTGATTTTGACTCCTGACGAAATAATCTTTCATCTGGATGCTTAAGTAGTGTGTTAAAAATTGTATACCAAGTTTATTCAAGCCTATTATATAACTAGAGGTTGGGAACTTTCATGAAATTAGCAGTTACACAAATCTTTGCTTTTTATGTGTAATTTGCCCTGGCTGACCCAAGAGGAGAATATTGTTACTCTGCCCAACACTGTCAAACCTTCAAATGCTCTGAATTCAGCCATATTTCTTTGCTTTTCGGTTGCCACAGCAATGGGAGGGGGGGGGAAAGATGCATTCTTATAGTTTAGTCAAAACAATAACTTTCTTGTGGGAACCAAGGACAAGCAGCCTTAATATTTGGCGGGCTGGAGCTACCGTTAGGAAGCCCGCCAAAGGTGTTAATTGAGGATTGTGATTTATGACACATAAAGGGTGGGGAGTTCAACTTTTACTTTGTAACCTTTTTTTTGGGGGGGTAAACTTTCAATCTTGGTTTCACCTATGTTCGTGCTGATATTATGTAGCCATTAAAAGTGTTCTTTGAGGAAAGCAATTGCCTCAGAGTTCTTATTTCTACTGGTCTCATTTATCGGAACCATGACAAATACTTTTCTGATTACTGAGATTGTGCAGTAGAGTGCAATGTTAGTATCTAGTACAGTACAGTATATGGTTATCACCTCTAGAACTATAAAATGATACTCACTGCAGGGTTATTGAAAGGTTATTGAAGAGTCTAACATTTCTGTGGGGTTATTTGACTTTCTAAATAATCTTATTTATCCCTGCAGCTATTCTTCTATCTTCGCAGCTCTTTAAGCAACATTTGAAAAATCAACTCTTCCTCACAAATTTGTGTTCTCCTGTGTTCTGCTTTTCCTGAGTGCCCCTCCCAAGCTATCATATACAGTATGTCGGTGGTTCTCAACCTTTTCTTCACCACAGACCCCCTTTAAATACCTTTTGTGGCCATGGACCATAGCCACAGACCACCAAGACTTAACTCAAGATTTAAATCATAACATTTCTTCAAGCCTTCGCGGACCCCCTGTGATGACATCACCCGCCCCAGGGCCACTGCAGTATGAAATAGGTGTATTTCTCCAAAGTTATTGGACTTAAATCCCCATTATGCCCAACACATCTGGAAATTACCAGATTGGCCAATGCTGAAGTAGATTGTTCATTAATAGCGATTCTAACTTATGATGAAAGCTTGCTATGTTCTCAAATGGAAATCTTTCCCAGCACTAACTGCCCAAAGTCTTTTAAAAAATGAAAAGTCAGGGATGCTAAAAATGGGACCTTCTTGTACCAATTGTACCAATTTACTGTGTGAGCCGTGGTTCTTTCATATGCTTTGGGTCTTGGTGAACAATCAGATAAGCCACTAAATGAAGGATAACTGAAGTTGCAGGGTTAGTTTTGCAAGATAAACTTCAGATATGGACCCCTTATCTGATTCAGGGCTATAGGATGGGAAGTAGGAAGCTTTTAACTTTTTCTCTCTCATCACATTCTTGATCTGAATTTTCTACCTGGACTGTCTCCCCCTCCCCCCATCCCCAGACACATCTGGTATTATTTGCATTGGGGAGTAAGCGTGTTTATGCTGATAGTCCTTTCCCCTAAGTAGACATGGATGGGTCTATAAAGTTATAAGGCAGCAACTTCAACTTAAAGGAATTTTATTTAACTTTTAGTCTGGAGCAAGACTACAGTGGGGACAAGTCTTCCTATCTTGAACTGGATTGGTTTTCTTTAATACAGGGGTTGTACTTTGAAGTGCACGTACAAATGCACAGACTCAGATAATGCAGTAATTTATTCAGACTTCAGGATGAGTGTGTGATATCAGCAAATATGCCAAAGATAAAATAAGTAGATAAATCCTTCAGGCACAATACATTTAATTCAATCAGTAAATCTATTAAAATGTCTGGATGAATAAAATGTTTTTAACTACTTGGTTTCTGCTAAATGTTGGTGCCAGATCAACCTCTCTGAATACTCTTGGGGCAGCATATAGAGACATCAATCTTTGTTATGTCAGGTCTGACATAGCCTAAAATGGGACATGGCCCAGGGGGCCTTCCAAGCTGCAGAGACTGCAGTGAAAGTGTTGGAAGAAGCCTCGAGCGTCCATGTTCTGATAATTGCTGGGAAATTTCTACTAGAGCTTGACCACCCATGAAGATTGAATTGTGATGGCAGAATAAACAGTGCGCTGTCTGGAAATTAGTATAGTCTGTGAACACATAGTTATTGTTTATCCCTGAGCTTGGGAATGTGGCAGCCTTGGGTTTTAATGAGTAAGCGGTTTCATTTTCCTCTGGTGATCGAGGAAACGGAGACCAACTTGAATCAAGACTAATGGACTACTTAAAACAAATTTTGCAAATTGCACGGATACTTAAAAAGCTGTGAATTTCCTGTATTTTGGATCTCAACGTGTTATTTTATCTAACCCTGCAGATGTTCTGTAGCCCTCTCAGTGGCAGTAAAAGTCCAAAGGAAAGAGAACATATTGAGCAAGAGGGTTTGATTTAGGCACCTCAAATGGAAATTATAGATTAAGAAGCAGGTTTTGTGGACAAAATGCATTAGATTATTTATCTTGGCTCTCCTCTCTTTACATATTTACACCTTTCCTTCCAGGAGCCTGAAACCAGATTTTGTTCTGATCCGTCAGCATGCTTACAGCATGGCTCGTGGGGGAGACCACCGTGGCATTGTTATTGGCTTGCAGTATGCAGGCGTGCCCAGCGTCAACACTTTGCATTCCGTATACAACTNGGCTGAAATCTTAGCCATTTCTGCTAAATTTGAAACTTTAAATGCCCAATCTTCTATAGTAGGCAAACAATCCGTTTTCCAACATTGAGCTATTAATAATCTCGCAGCAGTTATCAAATTCAGCATCAATTCCATTTCTTTTTTATCCAAATTTTCCATAATACCCAACAAAAATAACTGAGGCTTAAACTTTATCTTTGATCTGAATTTTCTACCTGGACTGTCTCCCCCTCCCCCCATCCCTAGACACATCTGGTATTATTTGCATTGGGGAGTAAGCGTGTTTATGCTGATAGTCCTTTCCCCTAAGTAGACATGGATGGGTCTATAAAGTTATAAGGCAGCAACTTCAACTTAAAGGAATTTTATTTAACTTTTAGTCTGGAGCAAGACTACAGTGGGGACAAGTCTTCCTATCTTGAACTGGATTGGTTTTCTTTAATATAGGGGTTGTACTTTGAAGTGCACATACAAATGCACACACTCAGATAATGCAGTAATTTATTCAGACTTCAGAATGAGTGTGTGATATCAGCAAATATGCCAAAGATAAAATAAGTAGATAAATCCTTCAGGCACAATACATTTAATTCAATCAGTAAATCTATTAAAATGTCTGGATGAATAAAATGTTTTTAACTACTTGGTTTCTGCTAAATGTTGGTGCCAGATCAACCTCTCTGAATACTCTTGGGGCAGCATATAGAGACATCAATCTTTGTTATGTCAGGTCTGACATAGCCTAAAATGGGACATGGCCCAGGGGGCCTTCCAAGCTGCAGAGACTGCAGTGAAAGTGTTGGAAGAAGCCTCGAGCGTCCATGTTCTGATAATTGCTGGGAAATTTCTACTAGAGCTTGACCACCCATGAAGATTGAATTGTGATGGCAGAATAAACAGTGCGCTGTCTGGAAATTAGTATAGTTTGTGAACACATAGTTATTGTTTATCCCTGAGCTTGGGAATGTGGCAGCCTTGGGTTTTAATGAGTAAGCGGTTTCATTTTCCTCCGGCGATTGAGGAAACGGAGACCAACTTGAATCAAGACTAATGGACTGCTTAAAACAAATTTTGCAAATTGCACGGATACTTAAAAAGCTGTGAATTTCCTGTATTTTGGATCTCAACGTGTTATTTTATCTAACCCTGCAGATGTTCTGTAGCCCTCTCAGTGGCAGTAAAAGTCCAAAGGAAAGAGAACATATTGAGCAAGAGGGTTTGATTTAGGCACCTCAAATGGAAATTATAGATTAAGAAGCAGGTTTTGTGGACAAATGCATTAGATTATTTATCTTGGCTCTCCTCTCTTTACATATTTACACCTTTCCTTCCAGGAGCCTGAAACCAGATTTTGTTCTGATCCGTCAGCATGCTTACAGCATGGCTCGTGGGGGAGACCACCGTGGCATTGTTATTGGCTTGCAGTATGCAGGCGTGCCCAGCGTCAACACTTTGCATTCCGTATACAACTTCTGTGACAAGCCTTGGGTGGTGAGTGGCAGAAGACAATGCTTGAGTGAAGAACCAGATCTGTGGTGCTGTAGATTCTGTATTCAAGCTGGACATAGAAAATTTAATGTTGTAAATTAAGGAATGTACAAGGTGGAGGATTTCTTTATTTTGTGCACAAAGAGGTATTCAATCTGTATCCAGGAGGGCTCACTCCATTTTGCTAACTTAGTTTTAAGTTGCTTTTGGATAATGTAAAATGTGCAAACACAGTCATTCCTGCAGTTTAAGAAACAGTTAAACAACACCTTTGCAACAAGAGAAGGTAGTAATTTTTAAAAAAACAGCAAGTAATGTCAACTAATTAAAACCTCTGAGTAAACAAAAGTGCTGAAATAATTGCAGTGCTGTATTAGTTACTCTTTCCACAGAGAAGCTCTTTCTCTTTGTCATCACATAATCTATCCAAGATGCCAGCTCTCTTAACTCATAGGTAAGCTAGCTTAGAAGAGGTGATCCTAGAATTAACTGGTTCCCAAACTCTTTATGTATTTAAAGATAGGCATGAGTGGCACCATAAGTTGGACTTGGAAGGAAATGAGTAATATCATTTTTCCTGGTTGAGTGAGTTATAGGCATGAGTGGCACCATAAGTTGGATTTGGAAGGAAATGAGTAATATCATTTTTTCCTGGTTGAGTGAGTTATCATTTTGGATGCTGCATTCTATATTATCAGAACCTTTTACTTTGTCTTTGAGGACAGTCCATAGATAGCATAATACAAACATGGCTAAGTTGTGCATGTCTAGGCTGACTAGGAGTCAGCTAGGTGTTACCAATGATGGTGGACATCGTGTAGGATTTCTGACATTTGCAACAGGTTCTGCTAATAGAAACTTTCCTGTTCAGACTCAAGTAGAAGGAAGGAAAAAGGCAGGAGTTGCAAAGTTGAAAAAGGCTGCCGGGGGGAGGGGGGAGATTGAAAGCAAAGTTAACCTTAGAAGCTTGTGGAAATAGATTTAGAAATATCTTCCTTGTTTCTTACTGCACTGTCTCTCCAATAGTTTGCCCAGATGGTCCGCCTGCAACGCAAGCTCGGTCCGGAAGAATTCCCCCTCATTGACCAGACATTCTATCCTAATCATAAGGAGATGGTAAGTTGGACTGGCATGGGGAAGGCTGAGGATCTTTCTGATTATGTGCTGAGACTAGAACATTCTGAGTTCTCTGGCTCCTTTAATAATTAAAAAGGCAAGTGGCCATTTCTGAGCGGGACCATTGAGGGTGACCATATTTATGCATATATCTATGCATATAGCTAGCCGTGTAAATGTGGTTTTCAGATATAAAACATGTCATAGTCATTCCTCCTCAGCTAGCATGTCTTCATTTTCCTTTTTTTTAAATAAAGTTTTATTAATTATTTTTTAAATAGAATTCAATAGTAATCATTCAACAAAACATGTTGTCTGAGTATCTTATTCACTAATACAAATTAAATTCCTAATCCCTAAATCTTTTCTCTAACCATTGATAAAATAGGTCCCAAGTTTGAAAATGTTCTGTTTCTTCTTTCAATCTTAAAGTAAGTCTGTCGATTTCCGCATAGACTAGTATTTTTTTAATTATTTCTTCTCTGATAGTGTTTCTTCGTTCATCCAGTATTGTGCAAATATAATTCTTGCCGCTGTTAATCGCATGTAAAATCAAATGTGCACTTTGCCTATCAAGTTTTTCTGGCATTATACCTAGTAAAAGAAAATTCAGGTTTATAGTTTCTCTAACATTTTTTCTAACCAATTTTGAATTTTTGTCCAATATCGCCTTGCTTTAAGTGCATGTCTTCATTTTCCTGTTCAAGGATGTGTCATGCATGACAAGGCTTGACATCTTAATGAAGTTGCCATACTTCAACCTGCACTTAGTTTGGGTTTTTAATCATCTGTTCATGGTTAACATGACTCCAAAAAAGTAGGTAAACTGCATTTGAGCTTCATGTTAGAGCTAGTGTTGGAACTAGGAGTCCAATGACAGTGGATACTATTCTCTATCCAAGAAGCCCACGGGATATGTACACTCGTATCCACATTTTTCTTACCCATTTTGTTATAAACTTATTATTTACTAGCAAATGTTTTCTCATGCACCTTCTAATGAAAGACTTCATCTAGTGGAGGCAGAGGTGAAATACTCCTATGTGGCCAATAATGCTTGCAAGAAACATTTTCTCTCTCTTAAAGGTGATGAAATTAATTTTCTCTTAAAGGTGAAAACAAATCCTGATAATTACTTTAATCAATGTAACAGATAAAAGATTAGTTTAATGAATGTAACATAATAACTAATATAATGTAAAGTAATATATTGAACAATAAATATAATTCTGGTATGCAAAGGCTCAGATTTGGACCCACTTAATTTGCTTCAGTATTCAATACTTACTCTACTATCGGGCTTCTTTTTGTTTTTGCAAGTGGCACACCCCTTTTCTGCCTATGGAAAATGTATTATTCTCATGTATAAATATTTGTGTTCTCTTTTTCCATCTTGCCATCTCCTGGAGGCTAATTTATGCTTGTGACCTAGCAACCCCCTTCTCACAACTTCATTCCTGCCCTCCTTTCAATTATTTCTATTGTGAGGTGTAGGCAGAGACTTTGAAACCAATATAAGCCTAGTATAATTCTAAAGTGCAGTGATGAAAACCAAGCTGTAGAAGGTCAGCTTACTTTAGAATAGTTATTTTCAAAGTGCAGAATCATTTTGTGTGGTCTTGGGATGCAAAGGATGACATTTCCCCTTGGCTATCCTCTTCCTTTCTAGCACTCTTGGCAGGAACTCAGTCATTCCTTAAAATACATACTTTTCTGCTCTTTCTTCTAAATCCTGTATATATATGCGCATTGCACTCCTGTGACCTTGCAGTTATTTAGTGATGGCTTTAAAAGTACTTTTCCTATGCTTAGTGATATGCTGTTGTTAATGACAGTTTCTTATTCCCACACTGGATATCTGGCTGAGCTGTGCAGTTTTGGAAGATGCTTTCTTTACTTCTAATCCAGAATGTGGGCAGTGGAATAGTAAACTCAGGACACCCAGACAGGAAGAAAGACTTGGGGTGGGGGAGGCTAGGGTTGCAGTAGGAAAACTGGAAGGCACTTTGCAGGCCATTGTGCAGGCTACTGAAAGCTTCTGCTGCTTCTTTTGTGAAAATTATTTACATACATTCTTAAGTTTTTTTTCCAGGAAAAAAACATCTAAAGTGTTCCCTTGTGTTTTCCTTAGAGGATTCACTGTATCCTACTGTAGAGGCCATTGCTACTGTCTTGCCAGAACCAGGACAGAATTTGAGCAAGCTTAATTGTTGGAATTGGCATTTATTTAAAAAGAGACAACTCAGATAGAAACGGAGGGATTGTCAGGGAGAGGAGTACCACTCCAGAGTCCATAGGATGTCACTGCCTCAGGAGGTGAGACTTGCGAAGGGACCCAGGTCCTTGGGAACTCAGGGATTGCCAGGTGCAGAAGCTAGAGCTTTCAGATCGAGGCAGGCAAGCCAGGCGCTTGGCCTGGAGACCATCCCATATCCGGGACATGAACCCATCTGTCCATAGGCACTGGTTGTCGGAAGAGATGAAACATGGCATGGAAAGGCAGGCCATGACCTATTGAAAGAATGGCAGAAGAACATAAGAATAGTATGAGGGAGACGTTCCTCTCGAATATCATATAATACTACATTACTGTTAGTTCTGCTTTGCTGTTATCTAGGATAGGCAATCAAATACGATGGGGCCAAAAAGAACTCAAAAGTTGTTGCAAGTTGGAGATTTACTGAATGTCTTATCAGAGGGCTCAGTGTTGGAGAATTGTTTTAATTTTAATAGAATATACTGTATGCTTTGAATTGACAGATAACATTGGCTGTGTCATTTGTGTATTCCTTTAGAACCAACACTCAGGCAAAAGACACTTTAACCCATCTTCCCAAGTCATGTCACCATTATCCATTCCATAATTCATTATTTACCAGAGCTGCTCGTTCCCATTTACAGTACCTTCTGCCTCTGTGGATGGGTAATTGATTCTACATATAACAAGCTGCATCTTTCTACTTTCCCCTTCTCCCTTTTTTTTTTTTTTGCAAATACACCCACTATTACTCTGCTTTATCCTTCTAGCTTTCCAAGAGCCTAGAAGCTTTTGCTTCTTATTGGTTGTCGAGAAGGAAAAATCCTTCGGATCCAGAATGGAAATTCAGGATATTAATCCTTTTGTAGGCTAGGTTTAAAAAAAAATTCTATCAAGATCTGAATGAGAGTCGTGGGTCTTCTTCCTCTGGAGCCAGCATGGTAAACAAAAATTTTGGAGGAGGTTGGTCTCTTCTCCTCCAGATCAGTCATGTGCATGGAAATCTATGGAACCTTGTACCATCATCTACAAGGATTGCATCTGTGGCCTGGCTAGACAGATTGCTACCGTAGATAAAGCCATAAATATGGATAGCCTTCATCAGCCTGAGGCCCTCCAGATATGTTTGACCTCAATCTGCATTATTTCCCAGCTGACATGAGCAGACATGTCAAACACAAGGCCCAGGGGCTGGATGCGGCCTGCGGTTTCATGTGGCCCGCGAAGCCATCCTGGAAACAGTGAGGGAATGGCCCCTGCTGCCTTGGCCCTGGCCGGCCAGGAGCCAAAGTACAATTTTGTGGTGGCCATCTATGCTGAAACGCATTCAGTCTTAGCTCCACAAGGCCGTCTAGAAACAGCGAGGAACCAGCCCCTGCTGTATCGGCCCCGCCCCCTGGGTGCATGCTGGGGAGGTGTCACCCTTTATGAGGAATGAAGAAATGGACCATGCCTTGGCACTTGCCCCGGTCCCACTCCCTTCTGCCAGAGACCCTCAGATCTGTCCCACTCCTGCCCAGGCCCCCACAGGCACCCTTGACGCAAATGATGTAGAGCTGGCTATGCCCACCCAGTAGGCCACACCCACTCCATCCACGCCCACCCAGTAGGCCGCACCCACTCTTGCCACACACCCCCGACCCCCCCCCGAGGGCAACCGCAATGCTGATGCGGCCCTCAATGAAATTGAGTTTGACACCACTGTAGTAGAGCCAATGACCACTATACCTGGAGGTTTTCAGAACTGTAACCGTACCCACTTAGAGGGCTTTAGGCAGAGGAAAGTTAGATAATGAGCTATAATTTCAGCTTTCAGGACCAGAAAGAACGCTCTATGTGTTTCTGTGTGTAATGTTTTTTTTGGCTAGCCTGCAAGCCTGCCTGCAAGCATTTGCTTCTGCCGTCAGATCCCTGAGACAGATTGTTTCCTAGACCCAGACACTCACTGTGCAGTTGCAGCCCTTGCTGTAGTCAAGGCTCAACCCTCGTTTTTGCGCAAGAGAAAGCTGAGACCATGGCTGGATGAAGGAGCAGGCTGTGATCATGACGCGATCGCCATCCAGCATCCCTGTTGGCCAAGAAAGAGAGAGAGAGAAATTAAAACGGGGAATATAAAATTTCTATCTGACGCATTAGTTGCAGATTTTACTTTTATGATCAAGCTTTGGCTCTCTGAGTATCCTGCAAATATATTACTATGGTACATCTTCACCAGCATACTGTGCTATTTTCCCCTTGCGGGGATGAATAATGAAATTAAATGTTGCTTCCATGGTAAGGCAAATTCTTTGCCAAAATTTTTTAAACTCGGTCCCCCTGAATGAATAACGCATGTGGAGTTAGGGAGCTGGTGGGTGGTTTATTTTGTTTTGTTTTTTATTTTGGGCTTCTTCCTTTGTTGGTATTGCATCGACTTACCTATATGGAGAACTTTATAAAATATTTCTCTCCTTCTCACTCCAGATATTTTATTAAGGATTTATTCTTTAATATGCCAAAAGCAAAACTGAAGCAACCAGATTTCAGCTAAACACTGGGAAAAAAGATGCTTTAACAGCATGGGTTATTTGATAGTGCAACTGGGAAGGGAGTCACTGGAATGGTTTAACCCTTTGACTTAAAGATGTGATAGTTCTAATCTGTATTGCAGATTCTTTGTTAAGCCAGAATATAGATTAAATCAAGGTTTCTTCCAAAATTTGAGACAATATGACATCTTTTTTCAATTAAACGAAATCTGGTA